AATGTCGATATGCATACGGAGAACCTGGAACAAACTACTACATCTCTACACACTGAAGTCCGCCAACCACTTTTAGAGATGCGATCCAACATTCAGAGCCACCCCCTGAAAGAGTATATCCCAACAGGTATAACCCCTCAGAAACGACGATACGAATACCCTTCGGAAATGCCCCAAACGGAAGCTCACGACGGTCTCCGCACTCGACACCGAACATCCAAGCAGTTTACTGCTCTGCCATTCAGCGAGGAGGAACAGCTGGACTCCCCTGCTCCCACTTCGCCCCAAGTGGCAGCTTCAACGCCTAAGAAATTCGTGTATAATGATACCCCGGAAGAGGTAGGCCACTCTCTTCCATCGTCCGCAGCCCCACCTTCCAACACTGGCCTTAGAGAAGTCGACCTAAACGTCGCCAGACCGGTCGTGTCTGATGGCGACGATGCATTACCTCCCAGCAAGCCAGAAACCCCCGCATTGGCCACATCTATGGACCTGGACGAGACGCCAGAAAAGGAAGAGCCAGAACAACCTTCCCGCAAACGGCGCCGCTCGAACTCAAACAACAATCCAGAAACCAAACTCCCAAAAACCATGCTCTCAAAACGGATGGCTGGCATGAAGGAGGGTCGCGAAAATATGCTCCCCTCGGCCACCACCAGTGGTCGAAGATTCAGAAACCGCACCTCTGATTAAGTGGTTTCCGTGTTGTTCTCTGCTCTTTTTTTGTCTTCTTTTTTGTTCCTCCTTTTTCTGACGATTTTTGATACCCGATAGTCGCTGGGCTTTCCACTCTGGGTTGGAGTTTTTGGCTGAAAAAAACAGTGTTGGCTTGGTCATTCTCTTGTATCTCTTTTTGTCTGAGTGCCATACAAAGGCATTTTACTTGGCGTTTCTAGTTTGGCTACATTGATATTCCTATAGGAATATCAGATTTGATCTTAATACCATACTTGATCTCCCAGTTTGGATTGGTTCGTATTGTATTCGAAGTATATGCATGAGATTCACCCGGCACTGGCCTGTATACAACACAAGCGCCGACGCTGCGACGCGCCAAAAATAGCAATAATAAATCATCAAGAGTGTTCCACTTCAACTTCTGCAGCATATGCCGCACTATGTCCCTCGCCCTGGATAGCATCTTCAGTTGTATCTGGGGAGAAGGGATACTGTACGAGTTCTTCCTCGTCGTGTTCTTCCTTCGACCCCGCAGCCTCCGCGGCATCTATAACAACCTGCAACTCACTCATCCGCTTCGCAAACTGATCCATCATCTCCTCAAGTGTACGCCCTTTCTCCTTGCCACCCACCTCGATCGGCAGCCCAGCTGTGCCGCGTATCTTCAACATCAACCCATGCCCTAGTGACTCGCCAGGATTGCTATTCTCAAAAGTGGGCGCCGGCATCACCTCCGTGTGGAGGACCTGCCAGGTTGATGAGAAACTCTGCGCCGCGATAACGCGATACTGCGGGTGTGGCTGTGCCTGATCCTGTGGGAGCGCGGAAACGTTCGCCGGTGACGATGATATAGACCTCGTGCCACCCCCGCCTTTACTTGGTGGTAGTTGTTCGGTTATCGGACTGGTTTGCGCTGTCCCAGGTGTATGTGGTGAGGGCTCCATGTCGAGGATGATATAGTTCTCTCGGACACCTGGGACGGGTGGTGGGAGTAGGGTGGTCTTGGCTGGATCTGGATCAGAGGGGTCTTTGATCCCGTCCTGGAGATTGGATGCTTGGGTCTGCGCGATCTGATCTTTCTTGGAATCGGAGAGGGCTTCTTGCTGCGCGGTCAGACTACGTAGGGCTGCCTCTGTCACGATGTCGGTGTCATCATCGGAGAATATGTAGTGTACCGTTGGGTGGTGGTAATCTGAGGTATGAGCGTCTTCGATCAAGGTGAAGAACGGCTGGAATTCGGGGTGAGACAGAGCTTGCTCTTGGCCATCCTCGGGGTGGTCTTGGCTTTCCTCCAGAACTGCATCTTGGCAAGGCGATTCAATCGTTTCTGGGGGTTGGTGAGTTGATACGCGGCCCTCAGGTAATTGCCCTCTTGGGTGTCGATCACTCGGCCGTGAAGAGGCGGTGCCAGGCCGAGAGGATGTTTCGTTGTGCAGCGACTGCCGGGATGGGGAATAGGACAGGTGATCGTGTTGGGGAGAATTGTTCAGAGACATCTCCATAAGCCGAGGCTACATCATTCTGGAGAGGAGCTTGGGATAAGATGAGGTTCTGGATCGCGTGCGGAGAGCTGCTTATCGATAGCGCCACGTGACGGTCATAAAAGTGACAGCCTTGGAGTGTATATAATTGACCTGTATTAAATGAGTTCAATAGTGATATTACTATCTGAGATGTTGTTACTCCTTATTAGAGACAGTAGGTTGTTGTGTATGCTGCTTGGGCCGTGATATAAGTTGACCTTCCCGGCCCAATTTGCAAAATATATATCTACATAACAGAGATCGAACACTATAAACAAGTTGCTTTAGCAATTCAAACCATTACAATATACATCAAGGCAAATTACGCATAAACAACAGTTACCCAATAGGAATAGCTATGAATTGCAAAATGAAGGATAAACATGGGTTCAATCCCATGTATTGATCGGTCTCAGTCTCATTTCAACCACGGCATTGTTTCCACGCTCAATTGACACTAAGCTCCCAGCAACTCTTCCAATCCAACTTTGCATGCCTAATAAAAACACAAATGGGTATCTCGAATTCGTCCGACAACGCCTTGATAACCACCGATAAGAAAAAACACAAAATTGGCCGTTATTCCTTGTCCTTCCATTCGAATTCTGGAGAAAGTTAGTTCAACACCACACAGACAATCCAGTGAAAACATACTTTGTCGGCACATTGGACATAGTCCCTTGGAAGATTCCAGGTCAATCCAGGTCATCAAGCAATGCTGTTTCAAAAGTGTTGATCAGTCCAGTCCTAGCTTGGATGGGTCACTCCGTAGTCTTACCATATGAAAAGCATGGTTACATCTTCCTTGCACTATAATAGTCATCATAGTCAGTATTGAGCTTATAATTGGGGGTTTAAAGGTCACTTACCAAGCGCGCAGTCGTCGCCGGGGAATTTGCAGGTTGGACAAGTGCCATCGAACTGAACACGACAGATACCACATACTTCATCCTCGGGAATATTCCAGTGCCAAGTAGCAACTGCATTCCATTCTTTAATAGCAACCTTCATTGTGGAGTATGGAGAGCCAAGGAAGAGGTGAAGAGAGGGAAAACAGTGTTATCTCTTATCATCTTATCACATGTCCACGGGTTCTCCACACATGTGCCGCCAGAACACGCAATAGTACTCCTCATATTGCTCTATCCTCTGCTCTGACTCGTTTATTCCCCAGGACTTCGCTACCTCGTTATGTAAATTGGTCTTTTAAAAAGGTTCCTTTTCTCTCCACCATGGCTTTTGCAGCCAGATCTTTTGCTCCTGCTCGTCTCTTCCGTCCCAACATGTCCATCTCCACAGGGCTCCATACTCAGCGCAATGTCTCTTTTTCTTCGTATTTAGTGACACCAAAGCAGCTGAATGAAGCACTTAAGAAGAACCCCACGACAAAAATCTCAACTTCCCCGCGCGTGATTCCCCTCTGTGCAGCATGGTTCATGCCGAACGACCCAGAGGGTCGCAAGGGAATTGACTCGTTCCGTAACTCGCGCATCCCCCAGGCCCGATTCTTCGACCTTGACGCCATCAAAGATCAAGATTCACCATATCCACACATGCTTCCTACTTGCGAGACTTTTGCCGAGGCCATGAGTGAGCTGGGGATCCGTCGCGACGACGAGGTGGTGGTTTACGACACTGCCGACCTGGGCATCTTCAGTGCACCTCGTGTAGGCTGGACGCTGCGCGTATTCGGCCATCCCAATGTGCGCATCCTCAATAACTATCGTCTCTGGGTCAAAGAAGGTCTTCCGACGGAGAGCGGTGAGCCAGCAGTGGTGGAGAAGTCCAAGTACCCTGTTCCGACATACGACGCGCGACTAGTCATCTCTTTCCGCGAGATGAAGGAGTTGGCATTGGACTATGGTAAAGAAGGCGCAGAGGAAGTAGAGATTCTAGATGCCCGCTCCTATGGTCGCTGGGCTGGAACTGACCCGGAGCCGCGCCCTGGCCTGTCATCGGGCCATCTTCCTGGTTCCAAGAGCATGCCCTTCCAAGAACTATTGGACCCTGAAACAAAAGCCTATCTTCCTGCTGAAGATCTGCGAAAGGTCTTTGAGGATCACAAGGTGGATCCAAACCAAACAATCATCAGCTCGTGCGGTACTGGTGTGACTGCCTCCATCATCGAGACAGCCCTGAGTGAGGCGGAATATGGTGACCCAAACCTACGTCGGGTATATGACGGCAGCTGGACGTAAGTATAGAGAGATTCCCCCTTGTAATTGCTACTAGTACTAATATGAAGATAACCAGTGAGTGGGCGCAACGGGTCAAGGAATCGGATGGCCTCATCAAGAAGGTGAAGTCATAGGCTCGGGATGGGCACTGGTACCCTTTTGTTTAACATCCTTGCTTTTTCTTTTCTCTATCTTTCTATCTCTAGAATGTATCCATCTTCAATACATAGAAACTCTCACTTACATCTTTAAATTCGGTCTGTTCCTGAAGTACGCTTAGTCAGCATACTTCTATCTTCCATCGCATCATTTCTCAAGGTGTGTTCTTTGCCAGGCAAGTCTGTATTGTTACAAAGATGCTGCAGATGGAAACATCCTATCAACTGCCTTCTCATCGTGAGTGAAATTTTACGACTCCATCAACCGACGTCCCACTACTCCCCTCCCCTCCCCCCACATCCTCAGGTCCCTCCATCGTCAAACCTCCTTCCTCTAGGCCCGTGCTGACCGGTCCCGATTCAGTCGCGGTTGTCTACACTTCTAGTCTTCCGATATAGGGCGGTCTTGGCCCTGTATCTCTCACTCACTACAAATACACGAACACATTCGTTCAATATCCGCCATGTCGACCGGACGCAAGGTCTTCCACTGTGCCGTGGACGAGACGGCCCTGTCCACCAATATTAGCGAAATCAAGAAATGGACTGCTAATGGTGCTATTGATCTCGTGGTTCCTCTCTACAGTGAGTATCGGCCAAAGGCCTTTGATTCCCTCACTGCAGTGCTTGCCAGTCTAACTATTATCCTCCGATTAGCACTTGAACGACTCCATGCGCTGAAGCGAGCGGGATCGCAGGTCGCCATCAATGCCCGCGAGGCAGTCCGCTTTCTTGACCGGGTCACTTCCGGCAAAGATCACATCGCCGCCGACCGAGTTCTCCTCCAAGGCCCCATGGAGCAATACGAACGCTGGGAGGAGGCTGAGAAATTCTTCCTGCCGGAATTTGAAGAGGAGCCCGAGGTAATTGACGAAGCAATTACCAATGGCGAGCCGGCAATCGAACCTAGCACCGATGATACTTTGACCAAGAACGAGTCGGATGATCTGTCGCAGATGCTCTTGTCCAAGCTGAACTTCAAGAAGGACCCGGAGGCTGTCTCGATCACCTCCGTCGGCACCCCCAGTGGACCTGGATCGCGCACATCCTCTCGCAGCTCCCGTACCAGCCCCGAGTGCGCCCAGCACGAGTCCAGCAGTGGAACAAAGAATGACAAGACCAAGAGCAAGTCTTCCAGGCATCAGCGCACCATCTCCGGAACCGTCATCCCGACCGCGCCGCCCGCTCTGCGCCCATTGCTGAGCGCTCTGCTCTGGCGGTTGCATACCGGCCCCGATGCTGAGAACTCTGCCAAGACCTGCATCCTCATCTCCAATGACCGTGCGACCCAGGTGTGGGCTCAGAAGTTTGGCATTGGTGTGAAGAACATTCTGCAGCTACGCACCGCTATCCAGTACGAGGAGCGTGAGTACAAAAACCGCTGCAAATATGTCGAGAAAACCCAGACCCAACCCGCCGAGCCGAAGACATTGTTGTCCTACGAAGAAGAGAGCGATGAAGATGAGCTGGTGTTCGTCCCCCGCGGTCGTGGAAAAGGAACCCCCCGAGGTGCTTCGCGTGGTGGGGGTCAGCGAAAGGCTGCCCCCAAGGCTGCGCCACCTGTTGAGCATGCTGCCACTGTGGAAGTTCCTACCAAGCCCATTGATCCGGACTCTTTCAGCCGGTCTCTGGGCGGTGCAACTAAGCCGCCCACTGTAGATTCGAGCGTTCAACAAGGGGCCGCCGGTGCCACCAGTGCGCCCCGCGGTAACGCTGGAGCCTCTCGCCGCTCATCTAATGGTCGCCGCGGTGGATCCTCGCGCGGTGCACGAGGCAATGGTCGTGGCCGTGGTAAGCTCTGGGTTCCTTGATTGACACGAGCAGAACGGTCTACTCCATGTCATCTCTTGACAGTAGACTGGAGTGTTTTGTGAACCAATGCATCCAGAACCGGACAGAGTGTTTCTTTTCTCTTTGCAGGACTGCAATAAACCCCCCCCGAATGCGGGGATCTGGATCTGGATCTGTGCTGTGATTGCCTGCAGAGTGTGTTTTTCCCTCTTCCCCCGGCATCAATCATCCCAGAATCCCGGCATGATCGGATCTCGGACACGAAAGGACATGAATCCCATGGTGGATTCAACCCGCGGCTGTGATGCGCTGCTTGAATATGTCTACTTCGGAAAACCTGTGCCCACCCCCTTTTTTTTCCCCTTTCATCCTTTCCTTAGGAGACGGAGATGGGAGATCGTCAAATTGCGGAGACGTTGAGACGGTTGCTTTCTTTTTTTTTTGCAGGAGATGGTAGTGGATTGTATTATGATCTACTAGGATTCTAGTTATCCCAACTTATCGCAGATTTATCCCAGTAAATTTTATCTTGATTTTTCCCTACAGGTTCAATGTTGTATGATGTCGATATGTATAGACCGCCGCTTTCCCCGCGTGTCCGGGAGATCACTTGACTTTCGCCTTAATTACTTCATTCCTCGATTTCACCTCTTCACACTTTGACTATCATTACTTACAATGTCTTCCATCGAACAGTCTCTTCCTCCAACCCACGAGCGTCGCAACTCGCTGGAGAAACACCTCCAAACCCGTCCGGAAATGCAGGACCTCAAGAACCGCCACATCCTGCTAGACACCAATGTAGCTCCGTGGGTGTTTACGGATTCCCAGCCTCTTGAGATATGATTAACATAACGACAGAGCCCTTCAATCTGCCCGCCAGGAGCTTGACCGCCAGCGTGCTACAGACAGTCTGAAGAAGAACCTGGAGAAGAGACCTGAGAAGGACGAGCTGGTTGAGCGTTTGTTTCCCTTTCCCTTCTTCCCCTTTCTCTTCTCCCCCTTTCTCTTCTTTTTGTTATTTCTCATTTTCTACATTTGGTACCTGATCTGGTACCTGGAGATTCTTCTCAATATACTAACAACCCGCCAAGGTAATATCCTCCCCGCAACCTCCGCCGCCCCAGCGCTGCAGGCCCACGCCCGTGAACTCGAGAAGCACATGTTGGCCGATAGCCTTGAGCATAAGATCCAGAATAGGCCACAGCCTGAAGAGCTCATTTCCCAGGGTATTCTTTCCGAGGATGAGAACCCACGCTCGCCCGTCTGATGGACAGTAACATTGCGGCATTGCCACGGGATTGGCTTTTCCATGCTATGAGATATGGGCGATCGTTTGAGGGCGTTTTATTTTTTTTTCTTGCTTTTCCCTTTACACCCTTTCTACGTACTTTACTTTCTGTCTCTACCGTGAATGATGTCACCGTGACGCTGTATAGCAAAGTGTTGCAAATGGACAAAGTACTAGAAAACTACTAGAAAACTACTAGAAAACAACTAGAAAGCTAGAAAATAACTAGAAAAACAAATTAACTACTAGAAATGAGCAACAAGGGATATTGAGACATGTAAGATAGAGAAAGGTTCGAATTACATATTCCATTTGGAAAGTTACAACCCTCTTAACTATAACAGACATGTACTTCAAAACCCATTCATTGTTGGATACCTCATAGTTATGTAGTTTCTTAGTAGGATGGCACTTCCACTGCCCCAGACAGATCTGGCGTCCATCCACTTGGTCTCTCACTCCCACGAACGACAATTCCATACGCCGCCCGCTCAACCTTCTCCACACTGTTCTGCATCACGTCCTGCTTCTTCGCCAAATCCCGGAACATGTAATGCCGCTGTGGTACAGTGAGCGCCTCAAAGCCTGCGCGAATAGCACGTAGATCAACCACAATACCACCCTGCGACGAAGCGACCGTCGATTTCTCACTATCGCTTGCTGTGTTCTCGGTCGCATTGGTGGCAGTTGTGTTTCCAGAGCTCAGCGACAGAACTGCGAAGCGCATCATCTCTCCAGTGAGATCGTATAGCCCCATTAGGTAGTCTTCTTCTGTAACGAGGATTCCGGGTGGGACGCGGGCGGAGCACTCGGCATGGGTGATTAGCGTTTGCGTGCGTAGGTAGTGGTCGAAGGAGACGGCTTCGATGAATTCTTGGATTCCTGCGCTGATTTGGCGCTGGTATCGCCAGCCGTTGATACCTAGTTGTTCGGGCACGACCCCTTCGAACAGCGCGTGTATTTGGTCGAAGCGGGTTTGATTTTCTTGGGCAATTTTGGGAGGGAGGGGTTGATTTGTTGTGCGGACTCGTTGGAGGGCGAAGATACTAGGGTGATCTCAGTTAGTGATGATCTTCTTGAGCTGGAGGTGTGAAGGCATACATCTTCTTGCTTAGGGCGGTAATGTCGCGGCTTTTCTTGATGATGCGCTCGCGGCGATCATGATGCTCGTCCAGCTCGTCGCGGAAGTTCTCAAAGATTGACAGAATTGAAGGAGCTGACTCTGTTTCTGCTTCTGCCATGATTGTATCTTGAGGATTTAGCTCGAGTGGCTGGCCTTCCCAGGAGCGTTTGGTACCCATTGGCAAAAAGTTGGAGGTGGCTAAGTTCAGATCTCCCCGGGGTCCGATAAGATATGAGATGATTCTCTGAGAGCTTTCTCTTAGTTCACATCGTCTACTGGTACAATTGAGATTTACAGTTATCTTGTGTATTTTGAGTGCTAATGCTCGTTGAGGTCATATTGTGGCTATACAGTATAGTAGCTCATTCAACAACCTCGCAAGATTCTTGTCCCAGGTACCTGTACTTCAGAGGCTCACTTCCAAGGCCGGTAACCGTGACGGTCTGCTCATCACCGGGCACAATGTCAATAGCGTTGTCCCCAAGAAGTACACCTTCTTGCTCCTCGAAAACAAGACATTTGACCGGCTTGCGGGCATTGATCACCAACACAGTCTCACCAGATTTCCCTGTCTGCCTCTTTACCTCTACCTGTCGTGCTGACAGATTGAGATACTTCAATGGCTGTGGCCAGTCGACATCCCGTGCTACAATCTGGTTGTTCACCCACAACCGAGCGGCGAGGACATGCGGTTCTGGCTCAGCGATGTGGTCGAGAACACCATCAGTGATGATATCCGTGGTGCCATTGGCAGTAATGGTGATGTTTTCGTGCACGATTGGAGCCCGAATATCGCGGCCTGTGTTGACGGATAGGAATCGAAGTTCCACACTGCCCTGAACGGTCCCTGGTTGATTGCTGGCGATCCAAAGTTCGTATTTGCTGGTCTTGGGTGGCTGGGCATGTGCCACGCTCCAGTCGTGGTGCTCGCGTCGGACCCCGACGGCGATCGGGTTCAAGACTCGCTTGACGGCGTAGTATGCTGGCTTTGGCTTCAGGAAGTAGTCCACGATGGCCCACGAGATTGTTGGCCAGCAGTCGTTCAGCTGCCAGAGCAATGCTCCACCGCAGTGTCGCTCATCGCCCCATTGTCGGCGCCAGCCTCGGTAGCCAAACATCATGGTCTCAGCTTGGACAACCTGAGTGAGATAGATATAGGTCTGGAGAGGTTAGCCTGGATCAATGGTCATCATGGTGGTAGTCATACCTCGAGGTCTGTGGCGGACCGCAGATTCTCTACAAGGTACGTCGCCAGTCTTCGTTCGTGACCGTCGGCCTTGTTGTGGAAGTCGATAACATGTGATTGGGGGAATTTATCCTCTGGGTTCTCGACAAAGTAGTCAATGGTAGAGATGTGGGGGAATGCCTCCATTCCAAACTCGCTGTTGAATCGACCGCCGAGAGTATCGAAGATTTGATACTTCTCCTGTGTTCCATGCCACACTATTTTGATAATTAGCGTAAGAACTCGAAGTCTGTTGGGGAGTGCTCACCATTCCACTGGTGCATATCACCAACAGTGGTATCTGAGGATATCTTGCCATCTCCCCATGGACTGCCAGGGTGGTAGAATGTGCTAGGCGAGTATTCAGCTACCACATCGGGAAGTAGTTTCTCATAGATATATCGTGCCGGGAAATCTGTTTTCAACCAGCTCTCGGGGTCTTTGTCCTCGTAGTTGTAGGTCAAGCTTTCTGACTCAGCAACCTGGTAATCCTCGTTGTTGCCCGCATAAAGCACAATCGAAGGATGATGGCGCATACGTTCTAGATTGTAGATTGTCTCTTGACGGACTGACTCGAGCATCTCGGGCCATGTGGGATAATTACCACATCCAAACATGAAATCTTGCCAGACCAGCACTCCCAATTCGTCGCAGGCCTCATAGAAGGAGTCGTCTTCATATATGCCACCACCCCAGACACTTGTTCAACGTTAGCTAAAACCACGTTCAGTCCCAGACAAAAAAAGAAAACCCGAACTTACCGAATCATCACCTGTCTGCCAGCGACCATAAGTTCAATCCACTTGCGGTATCGCTCAGAGCTAACAGCAGGGAGCAAACTGTCCGCCGGAATCCAACACGAACCGCCGCAGAAAATGTCCATCCCATTAATTCGGAAGAAAAAGGATTTGCCATGCTTGTCCGGTTGTTGAACTATCTCGGCAGTGCGGATACCAAACTTCTTAGATGTCTGGTCAACCTGTTCACCGTTGCGAAGTAGTGACACCGATACGTCGTATAGAGTCTGCTCGCCATATCCATGGGGCCACCACAGAGCCGGTTGGTCGACTGGGAATGTTATTTGAGAGGTCTTCCCAGACACTGGGATAGCGTTGCTTGCAATCTCGTTCCCATTTAAGCTTAAGCTAAACTGGGCCGTATACTCTCCATCACCGACGGTCTCCACATCGATGACGGCCGTCACCTCAGCTGTCTGGTGGTCTGCAGATAGCTGGGTTTGGGGCCACAGATTGGCCACGCGGGCCTGATACACCTCGAAACGTACGGCACGCCAAATGCCCGCGGTCATCAACACTGGACCCCAGTCCCAGCCCCAGTGGTACTGGGCTTTCCGCACAGCCATGCGTGATGGATCACCGTT